CATATTCATGCGACTTAATTAGCTTGTTCTCGTGCATTTATGTTGTGTTTACTTAGTTGTTTTAGTGTTTAAGGCCACTTTTGTGTATTTTCAGATTATAAGGCCAAAGTGTGCAAGAAGATGCAAATTGGAGTCTTTTGGAGCGAAAGAGGAACGAATGAGTTGAAGACTTGAAGAAACGACGAAATCCTACTCCAACGATGAATTCTTACCAAAACGAGGAATCCTACTCAAACAAGGTTTCCTATTTTAGGAAAGTTAACCCTAAGTTTCCCGTTTTGGTAACCTTTCCTAAACTTAAACGTCCGTATTTTCTAGCCACTTTGACGGCCTTATAGGCACTTTAGGACACAAAACCAAGGCCCTAGCCCTATTTCCCTTCCTAGCCGCACCTTTATATTTATGTTTTAATTTCCTATTTTCGTAAGCCATTCAATCCATTCATTCCCATTATTCTTTTCCCTAGCCGCCATGATCCCATAATTTTCCTTGTAGCCGCATATCATTCCACAAACCTAGCCGTGGCATATTTATCCTAATATCCCATTCATCCCATTTTTAATCAGCCACCATCCATTCTTTTTCCTTTTTAGCCGTCATGCACTCATTCACACATTAATCCCACCACTCAATTTTTTTATTAAGCCGTGCATTCCATTTTAACCCTAATTTCCCTAAGCCATCATTTTTCCTATTTTTTTCTTTTCAGCCGTGACTAACCCCCCAAAAGGCTCCCATTATTCAACCATTAGGCCCATTATTTCCACCCTAATCCATTCTACCATTCAACCTATTATCCCATTTCTCACAAACAGCCGCAAGAACTCCCATTATTTTTCTCCATAACAGCCGCAAGACACACACATCATTCATCCACCCGCAGTCTCCATTCTCTCCCATTCTACACTTCACCCTAATAAATTATTCAGCCACTTTTTTATTATTCCTTTAATTTCCCCCCAAAACAAAAAAAAACCATATCCCATTTTTACACAATCAGCCGCACACCATTCCAGCCTTCCCCCCATCTTCACGCAGCCACCATTCACCCTAATATTATATACCATATTCCAGTTTTTAATCAGCCACTTTATCCCACAATTCATCCATCCCGCAGCCACCTTTTTATATTTTTCTCCCATTTTTCTCCACCAACAAACCTACAAGCCGCAGCCACCATTTTACATTTTCTCCCATTCTCTAAAACAATCCGTAGCCAAAATCATCCATTTAGCCTCACTGCCGCATCAAGGAGAAGAGGAAAAAGGACTTAGACGCGCAGAAATTCAAGTGGATTCGTTGGGCGTTCTAGGTGTAATCCATCCTTTGTTCTTTATGTTTAAATTCAATTTTATTTTTCTTATTGTGAACATGAGAGGCTAAATCCCCCTAGTTAGCTAGGGGGTGATTCGAAACCATGTTTATGCTTGCAATATGAATTGATTACTTTTGGTTGGAATTTCATAAGTTGTGGATTCAATTCGTTCATCTATTTGATTGATAACTTATTTGTGTATGTTGATTGAGAGTGCACGCTTAGTTTTCATGCATGAATATGATGCTAGATTATGAGGGAGTTTCACCTAATAGTTACAATCTTATAATCACAAGTAGTGAAGGTCGCTTGAAAACGATCGCGTTGAATGAATTCTTAGCATAAGTTTCATGCAATTCATAGTAACGAATGCTTCGTCAATGCTTATGTTTTTCATAGAACTTAATGATTCTTGCTTGTATCTCTATTATGCAATTCATGTAGGGAACTTGTAGGGAATGTTTTGGGTTGTCGTATGCAATCATCCAACTTAATAACTTGTGGAAAAACTGATGGTTAATTAGTGCAATTCACAGTTAACTTGGGGCGTTGAGTATTTATAATTTATCGAAAGACCAACTGAAAATCAAATTGTATGCAAGTGTGACATGTGTGGAGAAGAACCTTCTAGCTAGCATTCATCCATATTTTCATCACATTCATATTTAAATTTTGCCTTTAAATTACAATTTGTGCATTTAATTTATTTTCGTCAAAACCTCAATCCCCCTTTACCTTAGTGTCTAATTTAGTTAGTAAGTGTCTTAGTTTGTGTTTATAAGCGTTTTGTATTCTTTGAGTCTTTTTATTTGTTTTAGTATTTTATTGTTTAGTTTTGCATTCTTTGAGTTTAGTTTAGTGTTTTTAACGTTTGTTTTACGTTTTTGAGTCAGTTTCCAAGTGATTTTGCAATCCCTCCTAATCCCCGGTTAAGAACGATCCCTACTTATTTATATACTACAATTGTCACAAGAGGGTTTTAATTTGTGTGCTTACTTAGTTCGCATCATTAGACTCTTTGGATGACTATGGACTTCTAAGGTTAATTCAACAATGAGCCAACATTGTTGAATAAGATCTAGGGAAGGCAGTGTCATTTTAATTATGCGCTTTCAATCCAATTAAAACATTTTTCATGGACCCATTAGAAACAAAAGACAGTCATTCATTGCTAATTAGGGCGTTGGACCCAACATTTCTTAGTCTCATTAAAACCCCTTTTAATGTCTCCTTACCATTAGGTGAAGAAACTATAGTCTAGCACTAGAGGGATTCAACTAATAGAGAAGTAATAAGAATTACCGATTTGTACACATTCCTACAAATTACATATACTAAGGGGGAGAGAAAAAAAATTAAAGTCTAAAGTGTTATGGTCCAATTGAATTGGTAATTAAAACACGTTCCCAAGGTTCAAACCATTTGAATTTGACGGCCTATCTCATAGCTTAATTTTTGTTTAAGGCACAAATCCATAGCCAACCATTTTTCTAACTACTTAATCACATTAAATAATTAAATTGGAATGCAACATAACAATTAGATTTAGTACATATGGGAATAATTTTATAATGAGTTTAAACTACAAACAAAAATAAAATATCAATACATTTTGTCCTCTAGTGAGGTGGGGCCAAAATGCAAATATAAAAAGTTATGGGTCAAACCACAAATACTAGAAAGTAGATCAGATCCACTAAACGAGAAACTCAATTCCGCACTGCTGCTGAATCGTCGAACTTATCCACCAAGGGATTCGTTTATAATCAACTTTTTAAAATTGCGAAAGAGCCCACAAAGGTTTCATCAATAGGTATGGCCAATTATGGTGATGGGGAGAGGGAGAAGGTCAAACTTTTCTCTTTATTTCAAAAGAGGCTTTTTAGCCAAAATGATCCATGAGATTTGCATAGCTCCTCACTTTAGTCCCTAAGATTTGAAATCAATAGAATTGGTCCCTAAGTTTGTGCACAATCAATTATTTTGGTCCTTCCATGAAAAATCTCCATAAAATAAGGGTAAAATGATTAAAATATCCTCAATTTTTGTCAAATCATTTTGGCCTATTGGTTATTAAATTGAGGTTAATTTTATCATTTTTATCCTTATTTAACATAATTTTATTATCCAAGGACTAAAATGATTGATTGTGGACAAACTTAGTGACCAATTCTATTGATTTCAAATCTCAGGAACCAAAGTGAGGAGCTGTGCAAATCTCAATGACCATTTTGGCTAAAAAACCTTTAAAAGAAAATAAGGGCCCATACTTTTCCTTGTTACCTTTTGTACTTGTTGACCTTAAAGGTATGATTTGGGTTTGATGTCCTAGTCTAGTCTAGGATGGAGGAAATCAAGGAAAGTTCTTGAAACAAAGTTTAATACCCAAATACAAAAACAAGATGAGCACCAAGAACAAAACCATGAAAACAATTTCAAGATTTGCACTTTCATGGTGGCTTTTCAAACGAAAAACAAAAGTGACAAGACCTTGGCTTTCTAGCTTAAAAGTGTGTGTGTGTGTGTGACTCAAAAGAAACACAAACACAAACCAAAAAACACCCCCAAAACCGTACCCTCCCCTATAGTAGAAAAGCCCTAGATTTTTGTTCAAAACTCACTCTTCATTCATGTATCCAAAACACTTTTTGCATACATAACTTTTCAACTCTTGAAAAACAAAAGATAAACATATCTAGAATGAAGAACTAATATGTCAAAAATAAAATCAGAACCCATATGCATAAAATCAAAAATGACACATCAAACATAAACCTTGGCTCTTGATATCATTTGAAGGGAAATATTGAGATTTCTATGGGATTTCTAGTGACTAGCATGCATATACAGTTCTAAATTTATATACATAAGCAACGGAAGCATATTATCACATATTATCAAAGCTATAGTCATGCAAATCCCATTCAAGAAGCATAGGTTCATATATGATACATCAAACAAAATATTGAAGAACAAAGTGAATATTGAGTTTTATACCTCTTAATCTAGAGTTTAGACGAAGGATGGACCAACCTCAAGCTCTTTGTTCTTTGAACTCCTTGAGTCTAGCCTCCCTCCTTGCTTCCTCCACCTCGAAGATTTAGAGCTCCTTGGTACTTCATAAGCCTCCAAGTGTAGAAGACCTCTAAAGATCCACACCCACTAGTGTAGTGACATGGATGAGTGGATGACCAAAAGGAAAGATTATTAGTTTTTTTCTCTCCTTGGTGGCCGGCTATGTGTGTGTGGAGAGAGAGAGAGAGAGAGAGAGAGAGAGAGAGAGAGAGAGAGAGAGAGAGAGAGTTGTTTTCTCTAGAAGTGAAAAGAATACACAAAAGCCCTTAAGAAACTTTTTCACTCAAACTCCTCTATAGAGGTGAGACAAGTGAGTAAACAAATTGACTTCTACCTTTTCTTTTCTTCACCCCAACAGCCGGCCCTCTTAGTAATTTTTTTTGTGCTTTGGGATTTTATCATTTCAAGCCACTCTATGCTTGAATAAAAGCCCAATGGTTTTGGGCCCAATAGGCCTGAATGAACTCGAACTTTTCTTTAGGTTCGAAATGATCTTTCATCGCTTCTGTGATTTATTTAGAATTTCGAATTAATCATAACATTTAATATTAATCATAACATTTAATTAATCTTTCATCTCAGTGTCTCACATATATATGTCGGAATTATAACCAGTGGTTGTGATGACAGAAAAAGTTAAAGGATCAGACCTTGTGTTGGAAGCAGTAGTTGAAGCATAGGTAGCACATAACGCCAAACAAATGGTTTCACAACCTGAAAATCAAATACAGGGAACTGAAAAGTGCAAAAGGTGAGGACCTTATTCTTTGAAAAGCAAAGAATCATCACTTTGTTTTTGTTTGACATTTTGGGCATTTCTTGTTGCAGCATCGTTGGGACCATTGAGAATTGTCACGTGATAGAGGTATTTTGTTCACATTTAAACTGGTTGGTGTATAAGCATGTGGGGGTGTTTAGAGTGTAGGGTGTAAGGCCAGGTGTCTATCAGATCAGATGTGGGTCTTTGATAACCTTAAAAAAAAAAAAAAAAAAAAAAAGATCAGATGTGGGTCAACTTGTTTTTGGGTGTGCATATTAAACACATTAGTTGCTCATCGCATATTTGTGTTTGCGTTTCTACATATTTACAGTACAGAAAGTGATTTATGTTTATATGAGACTTTTTTAATCGGTTTCCTCGGGCAAGCAGCTACTGAAATCAGGAAGTATCAGCTGGATGCAGAACTGCGTACCCTTACCCTCTAGGGGGAAAAGTTTTTTAAAATTCAGCAGGTGTTTGATAAAAAGTCTTGCTTGATGTTTTAGTTGTGATGTATGCAGTAGTAATATGTATTTGCTCACTACAATCCACCTGAAATACATTGGAATACGATCATATTCTGCCGTTTGTCTTTTAGATTCATTGGAATACGATCCACCTGAAATACAATTTGACCAAATTGCAATTTTTTAGCATGGACTTTTTTTTTGGCAGTGACTGAAAAATGTCTGTTTTGTACTTCTCTTTCTATATGTATGCTAAGCTTCTGTAATAACAAATTCTGAAAACATCTCAAAATCGTAAAGGAAACGGAGAACGGTGCATATTTAGATGACGCCGAGTTATGAATACGGATTCATACCATTTCTCTATATGAACTTTAGTCTCATTTTTGTTGATATTATGTTTATTAACCTACGCATAAGTGGCTCACTCTCTCCTTTTGAAACTTGAATTGAAGAAAGATTGTTTGAAGTTTGCACCATGAATCAAGTAGAGACACGAACAAGTTCTGACAACGTGATTGATGAAATTTTACGGTGCTCCAGAATATAAAATATCTGGAGTGCACTAAAATTTACCATTGAGTGAAGCAAAGAAATGTTTAGTAGTATATTATGAACTGCATTATGAGTTTCCAACTGAAGCAAAAAGACGCGTCACGCTTCCATAAAACCGTCCCATACGATGATGCCTATTCCATGAGAGTTGTAAGCTTTAGGATCGTGCTAAGTTAATGGACAAATAAAAATGCACACTGTATATGGGACTTATCGAGACAAAATCCACCACTAGAAAAATTCTCGGTCTCTCAAGCTAGGCTAGCACTAAATGAAACAAACGCTTTGTCTTTGCGCCCTTGTTGCTCGATCGCTTATATCAAGCAAAACAAAAACCCAGAAACACGAAAAGAGGAGCAGAAACCAATGGTTTGTTTCTGAGATTTGTTTCAGAAGTTTGTTTTTGTGATTTTTAAATCCCCTAATTTCATCTTGGACCTCCTTGTTGAGGATTGCATGTAATCTTTGTTGGGGGTCTGATTGTTTTGTACTGCTAGGTATTTTTTGAGGGGATGTTAATGGGGAGTATACAGAAATGTTAATTTTAAATTTGAAGCATACAGAATTTCACCATAAATTAATCCATTTTAGCCTTTCGGCTACTCAGATATTTTAATTGTTAAATTTTTCGTTTAAGATAAAAAATTAACTGTAATAATAAAGAAGTCCGAAGTATTAAACAATGTGGAAATGATTTAGTTTGGCTTGCATCCTTGACCTCGGAATTGAATTCGCTTAGAGGCAAACCCTCATGGTCTTTCTGATTTAATAAAACAGACTGTTGAATTTTGATCTAACGGTTACAATTATTATAACTTTAGAGAGATCTTCATGTTTGTAACCGTTAAATCAAAATCTAACAATCCGTGTTAATTGATCAAAAGGATTACAAAGGTTTGCCTCGGAGAGTATCTAATTCTCTTGCCGTCCTCGCGGTTGTTGGATAAAAACACTACGCTAAAATTCCGACAAAAACACAAAAAAGTAGTATGTGTCAACATCAGTGTGACGCTGTGGTCTTTTTACTATGTCCGTTTGGGCTTGGTATAAAATTCCTTCTTTGACCAAAAACAAAAAACATGTGTGTGACGCAGGCCCTTACGTTTACTCATTCCCTCTACCCTCCACTGACTTGCACATTTCCACTCCAACCACCACCATTTGTATTATTCCTGCTCGCTCATTTTACCAAACAGCCTCTCTTCTTCGCATATCTATCTCCTGCTCCCTCAGTTGGCAATCTAATCATTCAGTCCAAAACAAGAACAACCGCAGTTAACCAGCAATGGCAGGAGTAGTGAGGAGGATCAAGTTGGGATCGCAAGGCCTCGAGGTCTCTGCTCAGGGACTTGGCTGCATGGGCATGTCCGCCTTCTACGGCCCTCCCAAGCCCGATGAAGACATGATCGCTCTCATCCACCATGCCGTCGCCACCGGCGTCACCTTCCTCGACACCTCCGACATCTACGGCCCCTACACCAACGAAATTCTCCTTGGCAAGGTTAACTTTTGTTTTACTTCTTTCCTCACAACCACAATCACTCACTCTGATAGTTTTTGTTAGTAACTTTTTGGATTTGGAATTGTTTGGATTGTTGAACTGAATGGATTGATGATGAAATCAATTGGCTTGTCTTCTTCACTATTGTTCTTCTTGAGAGAGAGAGGGAATAAAATATATAACTTTGCTTTGTGGTTGTGTTTGGGTTTTTTGGGGGAATGAACTAATGGTCGAGTGAATTGGGTTCGAATCAATTTACTCTTGTTCCTGTAGTGAATTTATAGGTAATTGCTTTATGGGTTTTGTTTGGTTTGATGTTGAATTGAGTGGAATGATGATGGAGTGAATTGGGTTTTGTTTGGTTTGATGAGGACCAGGCTCTCAAGGGAGGGGTACGGGACAAGGTTGAATTGGCCACAAAATTCGGTATCAGCTTTGCGGATAACAAGAGGGAGATTCGAGGTGACCCTGCATATGTGCGAGCTGCTATCGAGGGTAGCTTGAAACGCCTTGGCGTTGGTTCTGTTGATCTCTATTATCTGCATCGGGTTGACACCCGTGTCCCCATTGAAGTCACAGTATGTTTTCTTCACCTTCTAATTTGTTATCTCATTTTATTTACAATTATAGATCAATGTGGTTACTAAATTGTATAATATTTATATTGTCTGCAATGAATTGAGTGTTGAGAATGAATCCCACATTGGTGGGAAGAGAGACCTGAGGATAAATCTTGCATGAGCTTTAAAGTAATTGAGCTATTCCTCATATGGCCGATTGGTTTTATGGTGGAACCTCAAATTTCTTTATTGCATCACAGCAAGCTGTCTCACATGTGAAGCCGAATGGCCATACGTTCTCCATATCACCCGATTTGTGTTGCTCACGTGCTAGGCTTGAAAATTCATCACACGTGAGGGGGCGTGTTGTCACTGATGAGTGTAATATTTTCTCTTTACATTTCTCCTCATAGTTGCAAAATGCTAAGTGATGACAAAGGAGTTACAAAAGTTTAAACTCGTCTTAATATTAGTCAACCTTTAGATGTTGGTTTGTGTAAATCTTCTTAATAATTATAACTACAAGAAGTTAAAAAGGTCTTAATTATATTGGAGGGGGCAGCCAGGTGGGCTGGTATATGATTGTTATTAACTTTTATCATATGTGTGCGTGTGTGTCATCTTCATCATATGTCTGAACTCTGTTCTACATAAAATTTGAATTCTTTATTTGATACATGATGGCTATTAGATATGGTGATTATTGTGCTTGCATCCTTTTGTTGGGACTGGGATAACTACCAGATGCATATCTTTTGAAACTTTAAATCTTGAATTAAGCAAAGTGCGTTCATAGTTAACCACCATTCATTTAACATGATTGGCCACTATCCTCCTCTATTTAAGTGCATTTGTTGTATCCAAATTAGTCTAATTACGTAATGCATGGTATAATTATCTGTTGGCTGTAGCTATGTCACGTTTCTTACTAGACTGGTGCATCATGATTCACCTATTTTGCAAGGTTGGGGAAATGAAGAAACTAGTTGAAGAGGGTAAGATAAAATACATCGGTCTATCCGAGGCCTCAGCTTCCACAATAAGAAGAGCGCATGCTGTTCATCCAATAACAGCCGTGCAGTTGGAGTGGTCATTGTGGTCAAGAGATGTGGAGGAAGATATAATTCCTACTTGCCGGTGAGGCTTAATAGGACTAACTAAAGTTTGTTTTAGGAGGTAGCAGCCAATATTAATCTCATTTTCCTATCTTCTCAGGGAGCTTGGCATTGGTATTGTTGCATACAGTCCTCTAGGAAGAGGATTCTTTTCATCAGGTGCTAAGTTGGTCGACAATCTAGCCAATGATGATTTCCGAAAGGTTTGTTGATATGTTTCATAAAATATTCTGAAGTACAAAAGTCCATGTACATTAAAGAACATTGTAGCATCCTCATGCTATTATTGTGAATATATCCCTAAGTCTTCAAGTTAGGAAATGACTTCTCGAAATTTAGTAATCGCTCCTAGCAGCCTATCCTCTAGTGGAACTTATGCAGTAAAGGTTTAATTTTCTAACTTATGCATCCAAATGGACCTGATTTATTCCGATGTCAGAGGCTTAAACATCCTTAATATAATCATGTTGTAAGATAACAAATTCTTAGAGTAGCACATAAGGCCAAATGAGATTATTTTTTCTTTAAAAAAAATATAATGGTTGTTTTTGCCATTCACCTCCTACACCATTATAATTTGAAGAGTCAAAGTTTGAAGCCAGGTTGCCCATCAGCCTTTCCTTATTTCTATGAAAGTTACTGCAATTTTGTTTTAATCTCAGGTAGATTAACCATTTGGCAAGTGACAGTTTGCCATCAGGCCAACCTGCCTTAATTTATTTCTTTACGACAATCCTCAGCTATTTTTTAATTAATGCCATGAAAAGAAGGGATTGGTGCCGAACATTCCAATCGAGGAATCTGTATTGTGTTGCTACAAAGTTATGCTGAATATGCTTATCAAGGCCTACGAACTGTGCTGGCTCTTTATCATGCCATTTGATAAAGTCATTAATCTTGTTGCTTGTATATATGTGGCTTGTTGTTTGCAGTATCTACCCAGGTTCCAAGCGGAGAACCTAGAGCATAATAAAACAATATTCGAGCAGGTTAGTGATCTTGCAGCAAGGAAGGGGTGCACCCCATCTCAGCTAGCACTGGCTTGGGTTCATCACCAAGGGAATGATGTGTGTCCTATACCCGGAACCACCAAGATTGAGAATTTTAACCAGAATATTGGAGCTCTATCTGTGAAACTGACACCAGAAGAAATGGCCGAGCTTGAATCTTATGCTTCAGCAGATGTGGTTAAAGGAGGCAGATATATGGATGACTTTAGTACTTGGAAGAACTCCGAAACTCCTCCACTGTCTTCATGAGAGCCACATGAGTATGTTCAGTGCCACTGTCCTCATGCCATAGTGTTGTCTCTGCATTTTATGCTCTTCTGAATATCCTTTCGGTTCCGAGAATAAGTAGTGTATGCTACATTGTATGTTATGGCTGAGTCTGAGAC